GGAGCCTGTCCTGGAACTAGCTTTTGTAGACCAGGCTGGCCTCAAACTCACAGAGATTTGCCTGCCTCTACCTCCTAAGTGCTGGGATTAAAGGCGTACACCAACATTGCCTGACTGCCATAAAATCTTAACTAGAAAATAATTGTTTGGTTTTCTTTCAAATGAATAAAATAAAAAAAAAGAATAATCCTGAGTGAAATAACCCTGACCCAAAATGACAAACATGGTATGTATTCACTCATAAGTGGATATTATCTGTGCAACACACAATAATCTTGCTACAATCCAGAGACCATGAGAGACCATGTAACTAGCAGGATTCAAGTCGAGGGATGTTTGGATCTCCCTGGGAAGGGAAAGTAGAAGAGAGATTTTGTGAGTTGACTGCATGCAGGTGGGGATGAGAACATAAGTGTTCAGGTTAGGGTCACAGAAGGGGAGAGTACTGAAAGATACTACTGAAAAGTGAGGAGATTTTGAGGTCAGGTAAACATAGAGTGCAAGGGAATCTCCCAGGACTCTACTCTACCCTAGCTAAGGCTCCTAGCAATAGTAGATGTCCAAAGGAGGCTTTCCCCTTTCCTGAAAAAGGAGGGAGGAGGATCAGTTTCAGGGATAGGAACGGAGGGGTAAGAAATGCCTAGGATGAGTGGAGGAAGGAGAAATGCAGCAGGATGTAAAGTTAATTAATTAATATAAGAAAGATTTTTAGCTAATATATAAAATATTGGGCTTCAGGGCTAGTGTGATGGCATGTGCTCTCAAGCCTGAAGAAATGTATGTCCAGAACCCAAGTAATCAGAGAGAATCTGCTCCTTCAAGTTGGACACTGACCTTCCATCTCCTGTTATGGCCTGATTTCACCCTACACCAATACTCAAATAAGTAAATAAAAATATAAATAAAATTAAATAATGATTTTCATCATGACATTCACAAATGTACACATATATGTATGTATTCAATTGTAGATTTTATTTTGCCTCTGCAATATTAATTCCTCCATTATCATTTCTCCAGCCCCTCTTCTGTCTCTCCACTTTTTGTGTATTTCACATATACACAGATATGCAAATGCATGTATGTATCTATGCACAGATAAATTTAAAGTAAGTATATGATGACAATGTGTGAGATTTTTATTTCCTTCCATCTATAACTCTACTTAGCTACTTCTATAGTCTTCCCTTTCATAATTCCTCTTCTAGTCCAAGTAATTCATTGATAGATTAAGTAAATAGATAAATTATATATAAATATATTAATACACAGATAGATGGATAAATAGGTTACATTAGAGAGAAAAATATAAAAATGTAACATTCTTTCTATGTCTGATTCATTTTGCTTATTATAATTATAATAAGCTCTAACCACATTCTTGAAAATAGCATAATTCCACTTTTTATTTATTATTACAGTTCTAGATTCATATACAAGACAACTAAAAGTGCGTGTACATAAATTTTACAGAAATATTGTTCATCATAGCCATAAGCTGGTAATAAAATAAAAAATACCCACAAGGGAATGACTGTAGAGTAGGATACCTCTTGGTACTAAATCAGAACAAGTCACCAATAATGTAATTGCATGGCAAAATACCAAAACATTATGCTACAAGGTTAAAATAGATACATAAAATTGTTACTTTTATTCCAGAAACAAAATCTCTTTCCTCCTTAGTACCTATGGTATGGACATTTGTCATACAAAGAGAAAATTAAGGAGACATTGTGGGTTTCCAAAACTCTGATGAAAGAGAGGGTGTTTTATTTTATATTTATTTTTCAATTTTCTTTTTTTAAATTTTTTGTCAATTGCTTTCTTTATTTTTTTCAAGACAGGGTTTCTCTGCAACTTTGGAGCCTGTCCTGGAACTAGCTCTTGTAGACCAGGCTGGCCTAGAACTCACAGAGATCCATAAACCTCTGCCTCCCAAGTACTGGGATTAAAAGCATGCACCACCACAGCCCGGCTTGTCAATTGCTTTTTAATAGAGCTTCGGTACTACTGTTGGATACTCAACTGTCTATGGTTATATATACCCATAAGTTTTCCAGTGAATTAGTTTGCTACAGTTCAGCTCAGCTACAAATCTATATTCCGCCTCCAGTCTTCCTTCTTTATTTAATTTGTTTGCTTTTGTAATCAGAGTCAGGGTCTCACTATGTAGTTATAGCTGTCCTGGAACTCCCTGTGTAGACCAAGTTTGCCTTTAAATCAGAGAACCCTATACCTCTGCCTCCCAAGTGCTATGATTAAAGGTGTTTACTACCATGCTTGGCCAAGTACTTTAAGAGTGACTATTTCTCTAAGTAATTTTCTTTATATCTGTCTTTATTACTTTGTTAAAAGTAAGGAAATTCCAACCAAAACAATGATATAAATTGGATAATATAATAAACATATTTTAATATATGTACCAATGTACATTAATTCAAGTAATACAAATAATGAAATATTACTTCTGTTTGCTATTTTTTCTGTATTATGTCTATTATTTGAGAATTGATTAGCCTTTAAATATAAAATATCTATTTAATTTGAAATTCAACAAACAATAGAATTTAAAGTTCATTTTTGATGTGCAATTTTATTTTGACCATGGGGGAAGACTCTGGGAATACAATCTCCCAAAGGTCATTACTGTTTTATTTCCACTCCTTAACCAGCCTTCATAAGAAGTCAAAGAAAGAACATTTATTATCAAAGGCACAACAACCAGGTAGATTTCAGTAAAAGTGAAGACTTGGAACAATGAATATTGAGGTCTGCCACCCTGTGTTTAGGAGACCAAGGATTCTCTGGTATTAATTACTTATAATTACATAGTATTTCTGTGCTGTCTAAGGAAGAAATAAAAATATAATGTGAGTTAAAGTCCATTTGGAAAATATCAACAAGGTTAGTCCTTCTTCTCAATCTAAGAAAACAATGTTTGTGGAATGGAGTGAGGTATCAACTTTTTAGCTTTTATGATAAAATTCAAAAGTCCTGTTTTTTTTTTTTCAGAAAATGAAGTATAAGATTATAAAGATAATGGTAAGAAAATGATATATCTGTATGTGTGCTGCTTTAGAGATAGGGAGTAATAAAGGAAATAAGGAAATGCGAGGCACCGGAAAAAACATCAAGTCTCAAGTGCTGAAAAAAATTAAAAAGGGGCTTTTAGATTAACATTGTTATAGAGAAAGATTGCTTCCCTGAGTCCTGTGTGCTTTAGACAGGACAAGAACAGGATCAAGTTTGTTTCTAAATATTTACCTCTTCTAGAGAAACAAATCAAGAAGTATAGTATCATTTGCTCCAAACTCCTGGGATAGGAAATTATTGGTGTTGAATATTTTTTTAAATGAGTAAGATGCCAAAAGAATAATAGTTTATAAAAACCATCGATTGAGTTTGATTCCAAATGTTCTGAGACTATCATTGTTCCCTTGTATGTTTTCCTCATTTCTTTGTCGTACACAAAAGGAGACAGATGTATAGTGACTTTTCTACAATTCTAGGACAAAAACCTGAAGATATATAGCACATATGGCTTTCAGAAGCTCATGGTTGGCCTGCTCCTTCTGCAACAGACAACTGAAATTACATAATTCTGTGACTAAAAGAATTAAGCACAATGGATCTCGAAAGATTCATTCCCAAATGACAGCTTATCACCACAGACATTTATATCCATGTGTTAATTTGGGAAAAGATCCTGAAATCTCTATTAATCCAAACTTATCCACGTGGGCTTTCCCTTATGAATGACTCCCATTAGAATGTCTGAGATTTTACTACTAAGGATATCACTAATAAAATTAAAATTTGTCTTTTCCTTATACTCATTGCAGTTCAATTGATTGATAACCTCTTCCAGAAATATTAAATTCATAGTTGTCCACGTGGACTGACATAGTGTTATGCAACATGAAACAGGAAATAGGAGGATATAGGATTAAAAGCTGATGATAAATGCAGAATACTTCATCTTCTGTTTTTACTTTTATTTTTCTCTTTGCTTCATGTATGTATTTAAATATCACATCAAGGAAACTGCAGAGAAATCCTGGAATGTGCCTAGCTATAGCTGAAGAAATTACCTGGGACATTGCTTTCTTCTTGATTAAACACCAGAGCTGGCTTCATCTACAGCAGATTCTTCTATTATCATCAATTTTTATCATATTCATACATATACTCTTATCTTTGCCTCTTCAGCATTTTGTTTTCATTTTATGCTCATGGACTGATTTAATTTCATTGTAGAAGTGACATTTTATGACAAACAATAATGACAAAATTTGATATGACAAATGATGTGAGGGAAGTCTCATGGAGTTAAATGATTCATCTATCTAGCTTACAGTGGGAACATTTTAAAATCAAGTGTATCTAAATTAAGTTTCTTTCTACAATACCACATATTGATGTTCAATTCATGAGGTCAGATGAGAGACCATAGTGTCACTTCAAGATGATCCAATTTTTAGGGGAAGGGAAGCCTGCAGAAGTCATTGTGGTTTGTTACTTGTGATTTCTGAGTAGATATGATACCCAGGTAGGACGGTATGAAGCAGGGTAAATATGAGCAAACATTCTTTATCCTGTATAATTAATGCTGCAAGCATTTGCTGATATTTCAGACAGTATTGTGTTTGAAATTTAATAGATATTTTCTACAAAATAAGATCCAAGTACATTTAGAAGCTGACATATAATCTTTGAAACATAGAGAAGCAAATTCTTCAGGTATAATGTGAGACTGCGAGAATCAGCCTTATGTCTTAGGCCTTTACTTCTCATCTTAATTAAAAAGAACACTGGGACATATCACTGAGGTAAGTTGATCTGAACAGATGCATTTAAACTGATTTCAGAGAATGGAAGTCCTAAGTGCTCCCCTTCCACCTCTAGCCATCATAATTTTTCATTTATTATAAAATAAGAATGAGTGTTGATGATCTTTTTCATTTGTCTTTCAGGTAATTTAAAGTCTTTTTGAGATTATGCCCTCAAGAACTTATTCCATAGAAGAAGTAAACAATGTCAGTGAATTTATTTTCTGGGGCCTTTCTCAGAACCCAGAGATTGAAGAAGTATGCTTTGTGGTGTTTTCCTTCTTTTACATAGTCATAGTGCTGGGAAATCTCCTCATTATGGTAACAGTTTTCAGTGGCAATCTTTTCAAGACCCCCATGTACTTTTTCCTCAGCTTTCTATCGTTTGTGGACATTTGCTACTCCTCAGTCACAGCGCCCAAGATGATTGTTGACCTGCTGGTGAGGAGAAAAACTATCTCCTATGTGGGGTGCATGTTACAACTCTTTGGGGTTCACTTCTTTGGTTGCACTGAGATCTTCATCCTTACTGTCATGGCCTATGATCGATATGTGGCCATCTGTAAACCCCTCCACTACATGACTATTATGGACCGGGAGAGATGCAATAAGATGCTGCTGGGAACATGGGTGGGGGGGTTCTTACACTCCATTATCCAAGTGGCTCTGATGGTACAGCTCCCCTTTTGTGGACCCAATGAGATTGATCACTACTTCTGTGATGTCCACCCTGTACTGAAGCTTGCCTGCACAGACACCTACATTGTAGGTGTGGTTGTGACAGCCAACAGCGGTACCATCGCACTGGGAAGTTTTGTTATCTTACTAATCTCATATACCATTATTCTGGTGTCTCTGAGAAAGCAGTCAGCAGAAGGCAGACGCAAAGCCCTCTCCACCTGTGGTTCCCACATTGCTGTGGTCATCATCTTTTTTGGTCCCTGTACTTTCATGTATATGAGGCCTGATACTACCTTCTCAGAGGATAAGATGGTGGCTGTGTTTTACACCATTATCACTCCCATGCTTAACCCTCTTATTTACACTTTGAGAAATGCAGAAGTAAAGAATGCAATGAGGAAGCTCTGGGCTAGAAAAGTCACTTGGGAGAGGACTGGGAAATAGCAGAAAGTTATCATTAAGTAGGCAAACTTCAATTTCTTCAGCTTTGAATATTGTCATTGTTTAGTGAGACAACAATAGCAACCTCACTGGATTCAAAAGAGAAATGTTGGGGCACTGTGTTACACAGACGTAAGGTACAATAATCATGAACATACTGTAATATTTTATGTGCAGATAATTTTTGGAAATACGAATGGAAATGATTGTATTACTCGGTCATAAGAATGATCACATAAAATCATTGCTGTCTGCTCTTCCTAATTATTTAAGGGAGAATCCAATGAAATACTTAAGACTGTCTTTAGGTTTTAAAAATGTGGCATTTAAGTTTCTAGGAATTCAAACTGTGGTGGTAGCACATGCTTTTAATTCCAGCACTTAATAGCCAAGAGAATCTCTGTTAGTTCAAGGCTTCCTTATTCCACAGAGCAAGTTTCAGAATAGCCAGGGCTGTAAAGAAAAAACCTGTCTGGACAAATGAGGGGGAAAAGCTATATTTACCTATTACACTCTCATTGTATGTATATTGCATAAATGATCCTATACATGTGAAGGATCACATCCAAGTTAATGTCTTGACAGATTTCAGAAATCAAGGGGAACTAAGCTTCATAGCATTGAAACTGTGATACAGCCGGCAAAGAATGTAAAAATATATGGCAAAACAAAAGTTTAGTTTTAATAATTGGTTTTGGTAAATAATATTTTCTTTCATTATTAGTCATTTTCTTTTATTCCAACTATTAGAACACTGGATAGACTGATCTTATGATCTCTCAATTCAATTATACCATTCCACTCTACCCTTTCTCATTTCAGGCATAGATTATTAAGAATAAAATTTCCTTTCATTGGGATCCACAAACTCAGATTTATTTCATTAAGGCAAATGTTGAGTATAAATGTGTCTTTACCATTGCTTCATTGTATTTCTTAAAATCTAATTATTCAACTACTATTTCTCCCTATACATAGGTTCCAATTACATAGAAAATTGAATATAAATGTTATTCCTTGGGAAGCCTGTATTGCCTAATAATAAGAATGTTGCATTCTTGTGGTTAAATGTTCTTTTTTTAAGCAGTATGTATACTGGAGATGCTTGAAACCTTAGCACTGAAGAGGTGTGTATGTGGGCACAAGTGGGGTTGTCAGGGTGAGGATCAGAATTTCAGAGTCAACCCCAGCTACATAGCAAATTCATGGGCAGTGTATCAGAATGAGACCTTGTCATATCTGCTCATGTTCACTTTCCTGAGTCAGATCATCCCAGCAAGTTTCTTTCTCCCCATGTAAATAAAATTTGACACTTGACTATATCTTCCTGCCTCCTTTCCATATATTTTATCATTCTTCTTGCCATATTTCTAAATATCCCACTCTTTTTTAAACATTCCCAATCTCTGTCTTTTAGATTTGGAAAAAAAAACTCTCACTAAAATCTTTGCCTTCTCATGGATCCTTTTTGAAAGTGGGTTCTTGACCTTTAAATATAGAATCCTTTGTAAAAGAAATGGAGATAGTTGAAGAGATTTCAAGCCATATTTCTTTTAGAGTAGACTGTTGTACAGAAGATGAGCATCAGAAATATTATGTTTGAATATCTGAGGAACTTCTACTCTCTCTCTCTGGGCAGTAGCTCATCAGTTTTGAGGTGCAATGGACCCAACCCAGAGTTCCTGCCTACTGCACTGAATGTCTAAGGAGAAATAAAAGAAATGCCTATTAGTATCCTAAGATTATGTTGACTTATACTCCAGAAAAAGTTAGTTCCAACTGTTTCATTTTTCATGTCCATTTTTGTTGTAGCATTGATAAAATTATTTTTATTTGACATGTATATTTTGTTCAACATGCATACAGTATAAAAATGAATATTAAAAGCAGATACATTAGGCTATCCATGTCCACAGTCATTGTGTGTGTGTACATATGTGTGTGCATGTAATTATTTTGCCACAGGGTCTTATTTACTCTATAAGTACGGGGCAGATTTATGTAAAGAAGATATTGACACAACTAAAACAGTGCAGAAAAATATTGATTTCTATGCTCTGTTTTCAGTAAAGAAAAGCAAATTGTACATAAAGAATTTTCAATTTCTTTATTTTTTACATTTTCCCAAGTTTTGAGTTTTACACTACTTTGAAGACTTCCTATGCTCCATATTTGTAAAAAAAAAACAAAAACAAAAACAAAAAAACAAAGCAAAACAGTATATAATTGTTGCCTCATGATGACTTTTTAAATGGGGCTGTACGGTCTCATTTATGAACTTGAAGAATAGAGATATTCATCACCTGATTTGAAATGTTAAATTGAAGTAATATACAATAATTAGAGAACTGATAGATAATTAAATGCAGTGTTTTCCCATGTTAATAAGTGAGTGGCATTTACATAGAATTACATTTTCAGAAATAGAGTTTGTTTGACAGGATTATCATATGCAACACACATATTTTTTCATTTTTAAAAAAATTTAGTGCAATTCTCAAATGAAAGTAGCTAGGACCTATTTCTCATCATGGCAAATAACTCTGTTAATAAACAAGTTCAAGGTCGAGCTATATATTTTGTACAGTTTGCTATGGTAAGAGCATCATCATGATGATTGTGAACAGGAATATAAAGGAGAAGACATACAGATGTGTCAGTGCTTCAAGATCCTCTAGTACTTTTTTATGCAGAGCCTCAAACAATAAAGTAATAAAAAGGCACAAGCTAGCCAGCTCCTCTCTTAAACATTCCAACTTGAAGTTTACCTATTTTCTGTACTAGTACATGAAAGGTAGATATTGATTCAATAGATAGATTAAGATACAGCAAAGATCAGCCCCACCAGCTGGACTGCGACTGAAAAAGCATGGGATAAAACCGGAGTCTCTGAACAAGGCGAACAATGAGGGCTGATGAGAAGCCAAGGACAATGGCACAGAGTTTTGATCTTACTTAATGTGCTGGCTTTGTGGGAGCCTAGCCAGTTTGGATGTTCACCTTCCTAGATATGGACGGAGGGGGGAGGACCTAGGACTTACCACAGGGCAGGGAACCCTGACTGCTCTTTGGACTGGAGAGGGAGGGGGAGAGGAGTGGGGGGAGGGGGAGAAGGGTGGGAGGAGGGGGAGGGAAATGGGAGGCTGGGAGGAGGTGGAAACTTGTTTTTTTTTGTTTGTTTGTTTGTTTTTTCTCCTTTTCTCAATAAAAAGAAAAAGAAAAAAAAAGATACAGCAAAGAACTACAACATTTAGTTTTGGCAACACCCATGTTACATGGCATTCATAATGCCTCTATTCCCAAAATTGTCTCTAGCAGAGACAATCATGATATAAGAAAAAGCAAGTGCTTTGACATCACAGGCAGAAATAAACATAAGCACATAAATGAAAATGATAGTTTAGAAGAACATAAATGGAAGTGACGTGTGAATTACAAGTAAGGAGGGATTTGAGGAAGACCTCTGATGCACATTCTTAGAGTGAACAAGATGATGATGTAAAGAGTTATCAGCAAAGTCAGTGTTTCTTACAATGGCTACATGCACAGCATACTTCATGTCTTCTTATTGAAAACTCTGAGATCTGAATCCTGGTAGTCATGATGATGAATGATGACATGAAGCCTTTGTATACCCTTTTTGCATATGGTCTTCATGAGTACATAAGGAATATAAATGACAGACAACTTGCTGATATACAGAAACAAAAGTTACAACCACTATCCACATGGTTGCACTATACTTTATTTCAAATACTTTTATATCTGCTCCAGCTACTCTATCCTAGTAATACAGGGAACTCTAAAAGAATTCATATTTGTGATAAAATTATTCCTGTGTTGAGGATAAAAAATAGTAAACAATGTGATTAGATTGATCTGTTTTTATTTCAATCTCCTACCACAATTTCTTACACAATTAAATTATCATCTACATAAAAATTTATATCTGGATTAGGAACATGTACAGATTATATTATTAATTTTTGTTGTTAATGTAACAGGATATTGACGAAAGAATCTTTAAGAAGCGAAAGGTAATTTTGGCTCATGGTTTCAGAGACCCTTCAGTTCAACATGGCAGGGAAGGCATAGCAGTAGAAGCAACTCTATCTTTGGTGTCTAGAGCATGAGTTTGAATTTTCACCTTCCTTTTTAATTTGACAGAAAATGGGGAAAAAAGGTAGGATGTTCTTTTGTATGTTGGGAATACAAGTGAATATATGTTGTTCCCATTGGTTAATAATTAAAGCTCTTTGGCCTATGGCAAAACAGAGTATAGCTAAGCAGGAAATCCAAACAGATATACAGACAAACTAGGGCAGTGTCAAGAGGAATGTGAGTCAGCTGTCTAATAAGAGAAACACCATGTAGCTGCCAAAGGAAAAAGATGCCAGAGCATGAGAGCTAATCAAAAATGCCTGCAATTGGCCAAACCATTATATTTAATATTTACCTCTCAGTGTTTATTAATAATCAGTTGCGGGACTGATGGGCAGAAAAGAAACCTGTCTGGCAGAATCAAGCAAAACAGAGAAAACTTACAACTACATTAGGATACATTCTGTAGAGCCTCTGCCAAGGTGACGTGTGACACTGGGAGTATGAACTCTAAGCTGCACGTATGTATGTGTGAATGTATATGTATATATACATCTCTATATACATATATATAGAAACAGACAGCTATATATTAATGTATATAATATAATCATAGTAACAATCACAATATCAATTAAGAATAAAGACGCTTCCTGGTTTAATTATTAAGAATAAGAGTCAGGGGGCTGGAGAGATGACTCAGAGGTTAAGAGCACTGGCTGCACTTCCAAAGGTCCTGAGTTCAATTCCCAGGAACCACATGGTGGCTCACAACCATCTGTAATGAAATATACTTCCCTCTTCTGGACTGCAGGGACATATGCAGGCAGACCACTGTATACTTAATAAAAAATAAATCTTTAAAAAAAATAAGACTCAGGGCAGACAGAATTTCACCTTAG